GAAATAATCATGGGGCGTATTTGTCTCTATTCGTATTGTTACTCTCTCTCTCTCTCTCTCTCTCTCCCTTTGTATTTTTCTTTACCCTCGCTACCTTTACGCATATATCTGCCCTATTGTTTATGTTTTTCGAGCAAGCTCCACCGCGAAACAGAGGGAATTTTAACGTGGAATAAAAGGGGGAGAGATAGAGCGAATCTTAAAATTCGAATCTTTCAACGAGATACTTCACTTTTTTTTAATACCATCGCTTGTTTATCCTTTCGTTTCAATTTGCACGTTTCACTCGAATTTGAGAGAAATGGTTATTAAATTAATTGTTTCCTTCGCGAAGAAAACATAATTTGGAGAAAATATAATTATAATTTATATAATAACTTCGATCTCGTTCTTCTATCAAGCTAAAAACGTGCGAGGAATACAATGCTCGATTTATCGGCTACCTGTATCGTTTATTTCACCGCGTGATAAACGGCACGACAGATTTCGTAATAAACGAAAGAAGAATCGTAATAAACATCGCTAAAGGGTATTTCAAGCTGATGTAAAAAAAATAAACGTCTTCGAAAAGAACGAAATGGAGCGAAGAGCCGACGTATCCTCGAACGAATTAAAATTCTGTTCGTTTTCCACTATTCGTTCACCGCGTATTCGTCATTAATTAAAACGGTAGTAAAATTTTTCCGAAGATTTTATCATCGTGATATATACACATATATATCTACCTCCTTGCGGAAAGAACTGTGAATAGATGCACTTGAAAGTTTCCTCTCTGACGACTCCCGTGGGACACTCCGCCTTGAAGCCACGATATATTCTCTTCAACTCTGCCTCTGTGAATCTGGTGGCGCGACAAAGACTCGCCAAAGAGTCGGGCCTGTATCTCGGCGTTTGTTCCTCCTCGTACTCCGAGTCTGAAATATCGACAGAGTTTTCTGTTAATCATCGATCGGATTTCTTATTTGCCCGATGATTGGTTTCGATTTAAATTCTTTTTTCGAAATACTTCCAATCAAAAATCGATATAACGATCCACCAAGATCTTTAATTTAAATACGTGGATTGCGGTTCAACTAAACCGATCCTATAACAATTATTGCGTCGTAATAACTGTCCGTCGTAAATTATTTCCCCTTTTAAATCGATTCGAGATTGGTTTCCGGTATAAAAATCGTAACTCCTATAAACACACCGTTTCTAGATCATAGAATTCGAAATTCCGTTTCAAGGATGTAATGTAGGATGTCGTGGTTTCACCAATTTTCACTGAAAATATCCGTCACGCATCCAGCTCTGCCAGTCCGACCATGTTCCGTCAGAAGGACTGTTTTACGACTTTGCCAAGTACACCTCGCGAGTGGTATATTCTGTAGATAGCCGAGTTAAAGATCCGAAAGGATCCAGTTAAGCGAGGTGTGAAGGCAGAGATAGATTCATCAGATTTGAAGCGAAGTTTTCAGTTTTAAATTTCGATCGATTTATCATCGCTGTGTGAAAATAAAGAGAGATAGGTTGGTTTTAATCGTGTCGAGCAACCTTTGCCTTACTTCACTTCCACGAGATTAATTAAAATTTTCCCCCATTTTCATGATAGACGATAAACCGGATAAACGAAAACTCTAATACGACGTTAAAAGGGTTCTGGCTGTTTCGATACGTTACAAAACTCTATCAACCATTTCGCCTGGTATTTAATCTTCAAGCAGGTATATCCGTGTCTGGATATAATATTCAGCTTTTAACCAATTAAACTCGTGCTATTTGAAACGCGTGTGGGGTGATGAAAACGGCGATTATAGCGTATTATCGGGGTTAACGTGTTTATGCCGATTATATCCAGATACCACGAATTTAGGAAAATTCTGTGCGTTTTACAACATGCAAATACGTGTTCCACTGATAATACTTTTTAACAATTCATAACTAAGATTAGACTATTTGCAAGGAGAACGAAGCGAATAAAAAGCAAACAACTGATTTCTCTAATAGTCACGGTTCAGGTATTTGTTCGAAGTAGCATCTCTGATGTGTAGCGTAGATAGATTCACGAAACACGTGTCTGGCAAGTCGAGGAACTCCGCTCGGCTAAACTTTGAAATTTCAATTTCGGATATGGTATTCTATTCCATCAGAAGGGTTTACCGCATCGTCGATAAATTCGAATTCGCTATAGCGTTATAAACTAAACGTTTTAAATTTCGTCGAATCTAATTGTTTTAAGGCAAACCACGATATTTCTTCTTTCCATTCCTTTCAGAAGTTTTTCAGTTTTGTCATTTATTATGAACGACGCGCACGTTAAAAAGAAAAGGAGAGAGAAAAAGAGAGAGAGAGAGAGAGAGAGAGAGAGATTAATCTGTCGCATCGTTTCTCAATACGACGAATAAAAAATTCTAAAATAAATCTTCGCACGGAAAAGAATATCCGTTCGTAATTGAAATTCGTGATGAAGTAGATAGAGTGGATATTCTCCACTGTACAATACAGCAGGTTTCTTGGCAATCATATATTACAGTTCGCGCGGATCCACCAGGCTTTGGAATCTCTATTACACGGAAGAAATCCAAAGAGATTTTTTACCTTTATTTCACACTTTTATCTCCTTTTTTCCTCTCTCTCTCTCTCTCTCTGTTTTCCCTCCTTTAATCCATTTATATATTCATTAACTTTTTTTTTTTTTGCAAAACGAATGAATCTTTTTCTTTTACACGGATTTTAATTTTTTTTTTTTCTTCTCTCTTCCTTTTTTTCTCCCGTTGGAATATCGTGAAAAAACGAGAAATAATGGATCGAAGCAACGAATATTTGGGCAAATAGGTTCGAAAGGTTAAAAGCAATTAACATGGGCGCGTTCTTTTTGATCGAGGCATAATTCGAGGCACGTGCGATCGACGATGCACCAATCACGGCCGGTGCAGCGTGCACACACCTTTGCCCGTTTAAATGAATTTCCCGCGGCAGAACCTATTGTCAGCTTGTTTCGATCCACGGCCGACGTATGCTTTTATTCATTTCGATTAAACGAGGCGTTGAATCGCAGTGGAAATGCTTTCGAGAATTCAGTTACCTCTCACGCGAGCGAAAGGCGGCGGCGAGTAAAGAAATTTATTGGAAACTGTTCCTCCTTCAATGGGGAAATGTTGACCTATTTCTTTTTTTTTTTTCTTCTTCTTCTTCTTCTTTTCCTCGCGTATCGTCGATCAATGCTCGTATCCCTCCAATTCTTCCCCCTCCACGAGTTTGATTTATTTATTTTCCCAAATTATCACTGTAATACCACGGAGAGGAAGAAAGTTTTTCAGATACGATAATCGAAGACGAGGATCGTAATAAACTTCTCGAGAACTGTTTTCCAACGGAATAACTTTTTCCTTCTTTCAAACGAAAATATACTCGCGTATTTCCAATCAACTTCGATAAATTATTTCATCGATATTTAAAAGGATTTCTAAGTGGCGGGTTGAATTTTTCATCAGGCTTTACTCGAACGCAACACCGTGGCATGGCAGGATGCAATGATAACCGTTGAAGCGTAGGAAGAAGAGGAAGAGGTCGATCGAAGGGTAAGTCGAACACAATAACCTTTGGAGGGAAAGAGCGCGTGCATGTACGCAGCAGGAAGAAGTATGTAAGGAAGCATGCAACATAGATGACTGGGTAAAGCACGTAAGCGACTCTGGGGGCTTCTGTCGGAACAGAAGCTCGGGGAGAGGAGACTCGCACGTTCCTGGAAAATGTGTTCTAACCACTTGGTGGGATACGATTCGAGCTGCGGTATACGCGATAAATTGGCACCAACTTTGCCAAACGTATTTGCATTCTGAAATTTCATCCGGTTCGTCTCCCTGGCTGCAACTTTCCAGCTTTCAAGTTTGCTCGCGTATATATAAAAAATTGCGCATTAAATTAATGCCGAGATAAATAATTAAATTTCAAATTAAATTGGAAATATTTCCAACACGAGGACTGCTTAAAGAACTGTTTCTTCCCAAATCGATAGCTTATGAACACATGCACTTTAAACGGATGAAACATATTTGCGAAACACATTTGCATTCTGAAATTTCATCCGCTTTTGTTGTTTCTTCAAATTTCCTCGCGTATATGTAAAAAATTGCGCATTAAATTAGATAAATAAATTTCAATTTAAATTGGAAATATTTCCAACACGAGGACTGCTTAAAGAACTGTTTCTTCCCAAATCGATATGCTTATGATCCATGCACTTTAAACGGACGAAAACTAGCTATAATTTTCTATCTAAATTGACACCAACTTTGTGAAACATACATTCTGAAATTTCATCTATTTTGTTCCTCTGCAACTTTGTATTTTTTCAAGTTTGCTCGCCTATACATACACACAATTACAGTGTTTAATTACAGTAATCATAGATTAAAAAAAGATAAGATGCCGTTTCCCCTCAAATCGATGGCTTACGATCCATTAACACATGCAGTTTAAACGGGCGACAGTCGAAAGCTATAACTCTATAAATTGGCACCAACTTTGCGAAACATATATGCGCTCTGAAATTTCATCTGCTTCGTCCCTCTAGCTGCAACTTTGCTCGCCTACATATATATATATAAAAAATTACGTGTTTAACTATAGAAATCGTGGATTAAAAAAAAAAGAAAAAATTTCTCCTCGAATGATCCATTAACACATGCACTTTAAAGCTAGCCATAACTCTGTCCTTTCTAAATAGATACTTGATACTTCGAACCACGTTTCGAAAACGAGGGAAGTGTGTGAGAAGTTTCGTTGATCATGCAAAAAAAAAAAAGAAGGGTACACACTACTCTGAGAGAATAATATACCGTGCGAACGATAAATGGGACAGGTAAATACCTAAAGCGAATTTCACGCCGGTCCACGCCTGTCGGACGTAATTGATCAGCCTCCTGTAGAGGGGCCTCGGTGGTCTTTTCGTCGAGGTGCCCTCCTCCTCGTCCCCCTGGCCGTCGCTGTCCAACGCTCCCGGCGGCGGGCCCACGCCTGTCAGCGTGCCCACTTGGTTCCTCTCCCCAAGAATGTTCACCACCTCTCGCAGCTCAGGCGCTACGCCCTGCAGTCCTGAATTGTAATTCGCGGGGGCGACGCCTGAACCGAGAAGGCTCGCGCCGCCCCCGCGGCCTCTGCCGCGGCCACGGCTACCACGACCCCAGGCGGCGCCGCTACCTTCCAGATTATACCACACCTTCGAGTTACAACGCGCTTAAACGCTATCAACGATTCGTTCAACGTTGCGTGCTCTGTCATGTGTGTGTGTGTGTGAGATAAAACTGTGGACAACGCGTGCGTGAAAATCGCGATTTATCCGAAACGTAAAACGTGTCTCGTTTGGAACGTTTATGTGCAAATGTACAGAGATTCAATTTTACGTAAAAAGAAAATAAAATGTTTCTCGCGAAAGATTGTAATTGGCGTCGTTTTCCTTTCGTGGAAACTTTTAAACTTTTAAACGTAAACTGTAATTCGCTGTGTTTATTTCGTAAAATATTATTTACCGAATTTTCGAGCAAATTTATTTACGAGAGAGAGAGAGAGCTTCTCCCAACTTCGTCACGCGGATTTTAACGAACTTTTAACCCCGTTGCACAACGGACTTATCCCTCTTTAATCAAACGCATTTAGGATACTCGAAAGTTTTCGGAGTAGTATTTGCTTTCAAAGCTTTCCAACCAGCTTCTCCGCGTGCCTTTATCCTCGCCTGATCGTTCGTATTATGCGCGAGTTTGTTCAAACATCTGAGCAACTATCTATGATTTCTGGCATAAAGGTCAGAGTTTGAGCACGTCTCCCTTAAGCGCCTCTTGCTTTCCTTGATCTCGATCTCGATCGTTCGTTTCTCTCTCTCTCGAACGAAAGTGAAATTCAAGCATTCGAAAGCAAGATATTATTTAGATCGGATCTAAATATTCACATATTGATATAACTTTTACGAAAAAAATCTCTGTACAGATGCAGGTCGGTGAAGCGAATAAAGCGAAATAATAAAAATTACTCGAGTCGAACTTGTTGGCGTATCAATGTTTCAAGCGAATCGTCGAGGCGAGGTACGTGTCGCGTGAAAAATAGCCAGCTCGAATTTGTAACGAGAACATGGGAAGAGGTTGATAAAAATAGAAAATTTAATCGTGAGAATCGGAGAATTTTCGAAGGAGGCGTTAAAACGTTAAAACATTCACGAGGATGAAAAAGTTCGATCGAAAGAGGGGGAAAAGAACGAAATCGATAACCCGAAGCGCGTGTTTCTATCTACACACTTGCGAGTTTGAAATATGATCAAACGTATAAAAAATATTTCCATTTCTAATGTAACGACGACCAATAGTCTAACGGCTAATCTTCTTCAAGATCGATCGAAATTCACAGAGGTTTGATCTGTTGATTATATATTATATCGATCGAGAGGGAAAATAAATCTCTACCGCCATCGATATCGTATCTCTTCGTTAGTTTCGTTACTCTTTCGGATTTATCGCCGCTTTCTGCCCAAATTCTAGGCGCAATTTCAAAATTGCTATAAATTTATGTCGCGGTGTCGCAGTTGGGCAACGATGCATCTCGCCCGTATAATTCAGAGACGCGTGATAAACGCGCCTACTTGTGCAAACGACTGATCCGCAATAAAGCCTAAATAATTAGAAACGGTAGTCGTAGACGCGAATTATGCGCTCGAATGATAGCAGCGGGCCAGCAGATTATATATATACCGATTATACACGTTAAATAATCTGTAATCGTGTTCTGGAATTAAGCGGATAAGGGGCAATGATGTTAACTGACTTTGAAACAAACAAACGGAGGGGATGGAATAGGATATCGGTAATTACTTCTTTAATTAGCGAAATTGCTTAATTGAAAGGCAATTATTCCGTGTAATTGTTATCCAGCCCGGTCAACGAGAGATCGGGCTACAATTGAAATCAAAATACCTAATCAGAAATTTTCACTTGCTAATTTTTGATTAATATGCACGGATTTCGATCGAACGAGGAGCAAGCCATGAAATAATGCAATTAACGCACGTATCGAGATTTCGATCGCGCAAGCTGACTAATCGCAATCAAGGGTGTTTACCATAGGTGTCAGATACGGATAGGTATGACCTGAATGTTTCTCCACGCGGAATAAGATGTTCGACGAAGCTTTGTCCAACAAGGGACGACCGGATGTAACTTTGATTAAATTTAATTTAATCGATTCGAATTGAATTTATACAGGTGGGATGGTGATTGTTGTAAGTGTTGTCGTGTTTTTTTTTTTTTTTTTTTTAATTCATCCTACCTCTGACGAAATTGAAATTCTGGACGCGATGATCGACCATAATGGATTAAATTTACTGTGTGAGCTTGTTTGAGGATAGCAAGGCTTTGGAAGCGAGGACAAGTCTAATACGTTTAACGTGACAAGCTAGATAAGATTGAGAACAGTCAGCTAGGCGTAACTTGTCTTTGCTTATCTGCTATATGCGCTCTGTTTAATGCGGCAACGTAATAATAATAACTGTGTTAATCTTTTGAAAATAAACTATTCTCACCTTCTGTGTATTTCGATCGACTGTGTATATGTACGATTATATTCCAACGTTCTCGTTTTTCGTTGTATATGGTAAAAAATTAAATTGAAGCACGAACTGAATATTATCGTGTATTATTTAACTAATCTTGCTAAATAATAAATTTGAAATATTTCTATACGAAGATACGTAAAAGGTATATTCTTACATAACATTGCACATTCAATTCTTTGAAAATTGACAAAGCGTTTGCAATTATCCTCTTTTAGCACGAGAAATGATATCATTATTACCATTCGAATAATATTCGAAGAATGAATTTGAATGGAATTTTCGAATGAGAGTGAAATTTTATATGCGTTAGAAGCAAATTGTGATATTTTTATTAGAACAATAATCTACTAATAATTTAATTATTAGAATCCACTGGTGATATAAAAAAAAGTATATATAAAAGTTGCCAGCATCGTTTTAATTAACATACAATAATAATATATATATATATATATTTTTTTTATTTTCCTTTGACTTTAAACTAATTAATTATCCAATCTACCAGGAATTTCCTCCTGGTTATTTCTTAATTACTATATTCTTTTTTTATAATACTGTTTTAATTAACACTCTTCTCCATTTCATCAACAAAGCTCTCTCATTAATGAATGGCACAAAACAATTTCATCGCTTATACAAAATTTCCAATTTCTTCTTTTCTACGAGTTCGAGTAAAATTCACGATTGAAAAGTTTAATATTTCCACGGTATAAATAATAAATATATATATATCTCTCTCTCTATATATATATATATATATATATCTTTGAAAATTAAATCATAATATTTTAAAGACAAATTTCAATTGCAATTTTTAAATATTTAGATATATTTGTATTATTAATGATTAATTGATATTTATATTCATATATAAATAAGTGTATCTAAATTTAAACGTAGTCACTATTGTCCGTTTTAATAACACGTTATTAAAATTCACCACTCGCTCGGAACGTATTTATTAAATTAATTAATTTCGAAAGGGAATGAATTATTTCGAGATGAAAATTAACGAATTATTTTAATGATTTCGGTGCGAGAAAATGGAATAAAATAAAAAAAAAGGAGGGGGAGGGGATCGAATCGAAATAAAACGATTGATTCTCCTTAAAAATTAAAAGAGAAAAAAAGGACAAACCATAGACATAGAAACGCGCATAAGAAACTGGAGATAAGAAAAACGAGAGAAAAGAGAAAGGGAAAGAAGCCTATAATCTGTAGATTATTGCTCGAATAAAAAAATTCGTGAAAACAAGATCGATCCTTTCCAATGGCGTTGAAGAAGATACCTTGACGCTTTTTATAGGAGGGAAGCCCCACCACAGGGCCACAACCCCCCGCGCTCCCCGCGACAGAGGAGCTGATGGTGGCAAGACAGGGAGCCCCCCGACCGCCACCTCCGCGTCGTTCCAAGTCACGGCGTCTGCACCCACCTCCGCCCCCACCACCACCGCCACCCCCGGCGGACAACACCACGACGGGTCCAGGGGTACTACGTTTACGTCGTCCCCCTTCTCGCGCGGAGCCCCTTCTTTCAGAGGAGGGCCCCGCGATCTCCTGACGCCGTACTCGCAGGCTTCTTCGAGCCCTGCAATCAATTTTTTTTTTTTTCTTCTTTTTTTCCCATTTTCACTCTTCTCCATTCATCTTTCAGAGAACAATTTTCTAGCAAAAATTACGATTCCCCTTCTATACGCCTTTCGTAATTTATCGATCTCTTTAACAATGCAATAGCCCTCGAATTAATTTCGAGGAGAATCTGTGTAAGAGTGTTTGTTCGAGATTTCGATTCAAAACTGGTGCGATTGGAACTGGCGGTTTGAAGATTTCTCTTTTTTTAAATAGCGATAAAAGTAGGTGGAGTTTAACTTTCGAGCCCGACTTTTCGGATATGCATTTTAAATCGATCAATCGGGCGCGCAGAGTCGGTCGGAGGCGATGTCAGCGAATAATACTCGTGCTTTTCGATTCGAGTCTACGGCGGATACCGCGCTTTCCGCCCGGATACGTTTCGGTGGTGAATAGTCAGGAATTTACGAGGATTGCTCTTTTGCACGTATCTCTTTTTTCACTCCCGGGACGAGAGTAGCTCTCGCCCGGCAAATCGAGAATTCTGTGAAGGCCGCGCCAAAACACCCTCGTTTTGCGTTCTAATAACCTACTGTACTTTTCCCGAATGGAAAATGGAATTTCATGAAAATTAGTTTGACGAGCAGTTTAAAACTTACTGCTCGACTTAACTTTCTAATTGTTTTCGAAATATAAATTTCGTTTAAAGGGGTCTCGCATCGATTAATGCTTATCGATGCGAGACTTAATCTCGATCATAGATTCATCTATCGTAGATACGATAGACCACGGATTTTTCATACAAATGGTGTATGTTTAACATATTTTTTATATCAATTACACGTGACGAGATATTTGAAAATTTAAGGGAAATGTTAATTAAACTTTGTTACAACTCTCAACGAATGAACGATCGTTAGAACGAGGAAACTATTTTTCTCTTTCAAACGCATTTTGATTTATCATCAATACGACTTTTGCTTCTCGAGATATGATCGTGTAAAGAAAAATGATAATTCCTTTTTTTCTTAAATACTTTACCTTAAATTTGATCAAATTATCTAATTTAAAATTAGGAGAACTTTGTGCCGGTACAACATCAAAGATAATTACTTCCGGTCAACGAGCGAACGATCATTGGAGGCGCGGAACCTTGCCCTTTAAAACGCTTTCAGATTTATCCCGATAGGATTTTCGGTTGCCGAGATATCGTCGTGTGAAGAAAAACGGTAATTTTTAATCGTTTACCATGTTCGTCCTTGTTGCTTATTCGGATCTCTCGCTCGCACCGACCTATCCCGAACTCCAGACAAATGGCAGACCAGACCAATTCCAGGAAAAGGTGTCTTAAGTACATGGAAACTTTGAGCCTTTGTATCTCGGCAACCGATTAAGATATCGGAATACGAAATCAAAAGTTGACTTCGACGGCACATTCTCCTCTATTTTTTGATTTTAACGACAAAATTTTAACTTTTTTCATTCGCATAAACTCGAAGAATTTGCACACATATGTGATTAAAAATGATTGAATCGACAAATCTGTAATTTCGCATAAAAATCCGCAGTCTAAAGGACTGTTTTAAAAATAGTTTTATTTAGAGTTCGATCGATCTCATCTTTGATATTAGTTATTTAATATTTGATCAAAACCCAAAATTGAATTTTAATTGACATTTCGATTAATAAATACATCGCGAACCGATCGATTCGGGCCAAGTGTTATTCTAACTAAAATTTTGAATCGATAGAATATATTTGTATTCAACAACGATTAATAGGGAATGAGGAAGGGGATAATTGGAAAGGTAAAGCGAGTTAAAGATTTTAATTATAACCGCTCGCGTATAACTGGCCTGATAAAAGATAAACCGATCCACTCTTAGTTTTCATTACGAGCGTAACGACTCTGACCGAGAAATTGGAACACGGAAGAAAATGGAATTTTTCCACATAGTTACGTGCTCACCCTTTCTCGCGTACAACCACGTTGTTCCCTCTCTTCAAGGATGGATCGTTTATTAAATTAACCCTTTGGATATTAATTTCTCCGATCAGGTGTCCACGATGCGTTAACGAGTTAAACGTGCATGCGTTAATTTTGACCAGGTCCACCACGTCACGCAACTTATTATTCCCCGATCCTTTATCTTTTTTTTTTCTACGATTTCAGGCGATGCGGCGTGATCCTCAAAGTTGACATAACGCGTGCATGGTCACGTGGATGGTTAGTCTGTCTTCGAGTTGACTTTGCTTTGTTAGTACCTGAAATTAGTAAACAGAAACACGTGGGTTAGTAGTGTGTTAAGTTGTTGTTGTTGTACTTTGATCGTTTCATAAAAAAAAGATTTGAATTGGAAATATCACGAATGATATTGGGAAACGAGACGGGGGGGATAAGAATCGACAAGATTTTTAAGAATCGTGAAGACAGATACGTGTTCTTTTATTCGTGTGTAACACAGTTTATTCGTTCGTGCGATAAAGTCGGGGTCAAAGCGCTCCACTAAAAAGCACCACTAGGGCGAAGAAGATCTTCAAGATCACTTGATACAGTTGGAGGAGGGACACTTGTTCACTTTGTGCAAGGCATGTCCCCTTATTTTTTCATTTTTGAATTTCAGAAGATTGGAGGAACGGACAGGCTGATATATCCGTTTCGGAGAATTCATCGAGGCAATATCGCAATAAGAAAATCTGGGTCGTGCGACGGAACAAGCATCAAGATCAAGTAGCATTGGAATAATAACGTTCCCTTCGATAATTATATACGTCTAATTACGTTATAAATAAACGTTATAAGATCGTTATTTACTTACTTTTGCATTATAGAAATTACAAGCAGTTGAAGATGTTCCACGATTTTTGCCAATTACCGGAATAATTTCAATTTCACCGCGAAGTTATCGCTCGAAAGAGGTATGCTTGAGTACAACTTTTTCGAACAGGGAGGATAGATATCGAGTTGGAAGAACCACTTCGACGAGTGGTTAGCAAGTCCAAGTGTTATTAAGAAGGGTTTTCAAGAATTCTGAGAAAAAAAGAAAAAAAGCGGAGACAAGAAGAAACGCCTGAACGAGATAAGAAAGTATAAATTGTTCGTGGCAGGATATACTTTTTTTGGTTTCTCTCAGAAATTTGTGTCTGCCAATCGCTCGTTTTTATCAACGCGTACATATTCTTTTTCTCGCATTATTTACACGCAAATATTACGCGATATAAATAGACAGAACATGGAACATTTTTCGATACCATTCGTGCATACTGATATCGGTGGCTGGCTTCGAAATGTGCGAACATTGATTTTATCACAGTTTCCAATAAATTCCACGAGGCAACAATTAATCATGCTCTGTTTGTTTTCACGTGCGTTGTGTCATCGATTGTGCATCCTTTCTTTCTTTCTTTCTTTTTATTATTCGTTCCATTACGCCCAATGGATATAAAATTCGTGGTAACAAAGTTATCGAAACGCGTTTCCAACATCGATGCGAGTATTGCGTTAAAAAAACTTTTTTTTTCCCCCTTCCCTTCCTGTCGAAATCGCAACAATCGATTAAGACCGCTTTCATCCTTTCAGTTAACGCGTGAAATTTTATTTCATCCCGATATAGGATAGTAGAGTAGCGAGTTATCGCAAGATTATTGGATCGATACGGTTCGAATCCGAGAATTAGAAAGTTTCTGACTTTTCGCGTCTGGAAACTGAATCGACGTCTGACCAAGATATCAACAATTTTTCATGGATGTCTGCCAGCCTACGTGACCAAATTGCATTATCCGTTGCAATTTCCAGCTCTCGGAGTTAATAGCGAGGGTTCGTCGGCGCTATGAAATTACTCGCAATTTCTTTAATTACGAGTGGAATATCTGAAAGACACGCTCATCTTTATAATAATGATAATAATTTTATTTTTTCGCGTTAGAAAAAATTCGACGAATAGAAAATAACACGATAAGTTGAAAATACAATTTATACGTATATCGAAACGAATGATGTAGATATTAAAACGCATTTTCATAAGGCTGGTAAATGACACAACAACCTCTCGAAGTGAAACGCGAGTTATCTGAAATTGGAACGAGCGTTAAAAAAGAAAAAAATTATTGCTTCGATTTTTACGGTTTATCGCAAAGGATCGATATCCTTGCGATAATATACACACGTGGCGTGGAATTTCTGACGATTCGAACAACAGGGCCCCTCCTCCTCCTCCCCCCCCCCTCGTTGTGAACGCTCGAAATGAAGAGATCGATCGTGACAGTCGTGCAAGGTTTATTCCTCCCCTCCCGAGAAAGCCATTCCTATCTTCTCGAAAAAAGAAGACCGTCTCTTTATATTACCAGTTTCCACTCTGAATTTCACCGCACGACCATCACGATGGACCACTTTTCTTTTCTTCCAATCTTCTTCTTGAATTCTCGGATGGCTTGCGAATGTAGGTCTTCCGGTGACGACGGTGACGGTGATGGAGAAAACGATAAAAAAAAGAAGAGAGAGAGAGCACACCTTTGGGAAAAATGCAAAAGAAAGAAAGGAAACGAGAGGCGATAAAGAAAAAGGGGGGATGAAACGGCGATGAATTAGCGTCTGTCGTATCACCGGCCAACTGTCGCGTAATTATGAACCAGGGATAGAAGCACATATAGTTTTCCATCTGTTTTCCATCCTTGAGAGCGATATCTAAAAGAACAATACCCGAAAGTAAAGATTTTTCGTTTCGCGATAAATGTTTCTTTTCACATTCTTTAGATATCTCGCGTATATTATAAATACACGAAAAAAGATGCAACATTCAACGAATTACCGCGAATCTGTCGATAATATGACCGATACGATCGGCTCTGTTAATTGCAGGAAATCGCGTAACCACGCGAAAACTAGAAACCGAGACACCGTCCATTACTTATTTGTCGCACCCGCGTCTCGTATCGTGGTGGTGACTCATGTTCTCACTGTAAATCACCCTTTAAACCGGTTACGATTTATGAAACGCGGCAACTCGAACGAACTCGACCCTGGGACGAGCCCCAGCCAGGGAATGAACTTGCGCGCGGCTCGGCAAAGGAAGCCATGCCTCCCCCAACAAATCTTCCGTGGTGGTGGCTCGCGGGAATGTCTCTCGCCTATAGGAATTATTAGGCCCGCCTAATACAAGACAGAGATATCGCCCACGTGGATCTCCGTCACGCCTCCCCCTCCTCCCGCTGCTTCTCGACGTGCCATTTACATTAACAGATATTTCACGTGCACGTGACTTATACGTCTTGCGCGCCACTTCATCCTCCCGGGCTGACCCTGATTTAACCCTGCGGGGCATAAATTGGGGGTGTATGCATATGCAGGTTGCGGAATACCGCGTCGCAATGCCAACAACGGTTTACTTATCGGCAGGAAGAATCCTTTGAGGGGAGGAACGAATGCTTCGAGGGAGACGCTTCACGCGTCGCGATCTATTATTCTAAGCGTGATATGCATCGAAATTCGATTGGCCATTTCATGGAAGGGACGATACGATTCGCGATCAATTTGCTTCGATGATATATCGTTTTCTTTTTTATTCTTTATCTCTTTAAGAGAAGAGGTTGAGAGAAGGTTGTTCTTTATTTCTATGCGGAATTTAATTTATAGAGAGAAAGGCAGAGTCGATGGAAGTCGAAGAGTTAAGACGTGTTCGACGATAATCTTTGGCATCGGTCAAGTCAAGGAGCAAACTTTGGGGCAAACACGAACGCGCAAAGCTTAGCTAAGCTTCTGTTACGTTGCACACCGGCTCTCTTAACACGGGTCCTGTTCACATCCTTTAATTAACTCGTTGACGAGTCTGCCTTGAATTTTCCCGAGAATTTACCACTCTTTTAAATAGAATCTATTTCGATTAATCTTATTCCTTGTCGCTGCGTAATTCTGCAAACGATAATGTTTCTAAATTAAAAAGCGTAAATAAAAATGTAACAACAACATTACAACAATGTTGCAAACATCTTTAATTTATCCTATTCACACGTTTTTGCGTGCAATTTGTGCGAAAAGATTGTACGAAAAGGAGGGGAGTGAAAGGGAAAAAAGGAAAAAGTGCAGTGTTAACACCGAGAAGAGCTAGTAAGAGGAAGGTAGAATTCAAGTCGAGTGTACAATAGTGCTGTTTAAGCGAATCGTTAAACCTTTTCACGGTGCTCGCTCAAGAGAACATTCTCTGTATTTGCATCTTATCCGGTGACCTTATTAACACCTAGCTAGCTCATTTCGTTCTTGTTTAAACGAAGCATTCGCCTTCCCCAATATTATTTATTTTTCACGCGTTGTCTCGATTTTCCCCTCCCCAGTTTAACAAGGAGGAAGGTAATTTTAATTGTAAGGAAAAAGAAAAGAATCGTGAGAACTTTAATCCCTTAATGTCCACGGGCATAAATGGAATCGCTAATAAATCTTATCCGAGCGATTGCTCAAAGGTATTTCTCCAGAGGCGCTCTTGATCAGCTATGAGACTTTGCGAAGCTCGTATATACAACTGCGGCAGTTTGTCAGATTGACATCAACGATAAGCTGCTGCGACGTTTCTGAACTTTGGACGTGGCTGCCATCGTAACCTGATCTCTTTTTCGTATATCCATATCCATATTTTCCCCTTACAACCCAATTCTTTTTTGCCCGCGATGGAGGGGGCATTACGTTGAGGTTTGACGAGTACGGATACATAGAGAGGATTTCGAGACAATTTTCCTTTTTTTTATTACACAAATGTAATATACACGTTATTAATTTTATTTCGCGAAAACAAGGCGATCAAATAATTCAGTTTCAATTATAAACGAGCACAATTGTTTTCCATACGTTCACCTCTTTTTCCAGTCTTGTTTCTATACATAGATTCTATAACTATTTCGCGTAGTTATGTTTAAATGTGGAGTAAACCAAATTAGCGAACCTCAATTTTTTTTTTTTTTTTTTTTGTCTTATGAAGGTTTACATTGACGTTGAAAAAGGGGTTTGACGAGTACGGATGCACAGAGATTTTGAGAGAATTTTTTTTACACACAAATGTAACGTACACGTATTAATTTTATTTCGCGAAAACAAGGCGACCAAATAATTCAGTTTCAATTATAAACGAGCACAATTGTTTTCCACGATATTCCTACATTTATTTCTTTCAACAATCGCGCGAATTTCAGTGTTGTCCCGCTGTGAATACGTAGATTCTAACTATTTCAACTATTTCGCGCAGTTATGTTTAAATGTAAATGGGAAGTAAACCAAGTTG